TTATTTATGATACAAAGATTTATATTTGAGTTCACTACATAAAGATAAAAATGCATTCATATTTCCTCAATTTTCATGTTTTTGTTTGGTCAAAAATGGCCGAAAATCGCCAAATTCAATGGATCCGTCTCCATGGCAACCGGGTGCACGTGGGAAACTTTTAACACCATATTTGCTGGTTTTGTTCCAAAGTGCACCTGTGGTAGAAATTTCATCAAAATCGGAGATATGTCGTTTCCAAGCCCTATAGTAAATTTTTTGGTGCTTACAGAGAATGCATGTTAAAAGTAGTTTTACTAATTATTGGGTAGATTTACTAGAAAACATTAGTAAATCTAAGCATTCATAAGTAACTTTCACTAGGTATTTAAGTATCTTTACGACCACTACTCCACTTTTCACTATCTTAGCTAGTAAATAGAGTTATTAAACTTATCACTGTCCATACAATTACTACCTTAAAAGTAGTTTAACTAGGTAATTCTATCAGTGTGAATTTATTTTATAAATGTTTAAAACATATAAGATAGGGGGTGTCGCCGCGTCTATACCGAACATCACAAATTAAAGTGTACTTTTTTTTTAGTATAAAAAGACAAACACTTAAAAAGCATCTTTTAAAAGCGCCTAAACGCAAAATACTTTAAAAGACAAGGGAGTAATTGTTATACCTTCCGCTTGAAAAGTGGGAGGGTATATAGTAATCGTTAATTCCGTCCGTCCGTCCGTCTGTACGTCCGTCCGTCTGTTACGCTTTGGGGTACCCATCTCTTATCTGCAACTCCTCTCATACCCTGAATGAAATTTAATGAAACTTTCACAGAATCTTTTTTACATGTCGCATTGTGCACTAAGGGTAAGAAAGTGAAATTTGTGAACGTACGTGTTCGTGGATATCAAATCTCAAATATTTTTAATGAAACGAAGGGAAGCGTTTAAATGTATGACGGTGCGTATCCGTCATATGACGTTATTTAACTGCGGCGACTATACCTTAAGCGCACGTTGTATATAATCCGATATTTTGAGAAGTATAATGTTGAATTGAAATTTTCAGGTCTGATTTGAAATAAATGTAGGTTTCATCATTTATAATTTTGTTGTTTTACGTCGACGGATAGCGATTTAATCGAAGTTGTGACATTACTTTTGGATCAACCCTCATAAAATGTGTTCAGGTGATCACACACCCTTGCATTTCTGCTTTTTAACCAGTACACACACACACAAAAATCTTATACAATCAGTACTTTTTAAATCAAATATTTTCGACAAAACTCTCTCTCTCTCTCTCTCTCTCTCTCTCTCTCAAGTAAAAAAATAGTAAAATATCAAATGGGATAAATAAGTTATATATAGAAACTCTTTAATATGTACATGTACTATAAAGTGATAACTGCTTTTTAAAGTAAATGTGCTTCGTGAGCGATGTTGCCCATTAGGACTCTACATAGTTTATACTTCCGAAAATCACTGCAGGTCAGTTGTATGCCTATAACGCTACATGTAATGTGGTGTATAGTAAATGATATATTCTTGTGTCTCACAAAATTAGGCATCTGGAGCACATTTAAAATTATTTTTCTGATCCTTGGTATCATTTTATCACTGTACATACTCATGATACTTAATTAATATATCCAGAATCCACATACACATACATGTACGTTTATCCATTATATATTTTTTATGTAAAGCATTTTTAATGGAGTATTTCTTATGTGTCTTCTTTTATTAGATCATAAATCTATGAATATCCTTCAAAATTTAGATAGCAATCGAAATAAGAATTATTATTATTATATGGGAATACATTAAAATAATGAATATATGTGTTTAAAAAATATACAAGTATGCTTCATAAATAAATTTGTAATATATAATTATGTGTGTATGTTATATTTATAAATGTATATGATTTCTATGAAAAGTAGTATACACTATATGTTATAAATAAGAAATAATTTATCGTACTAAAAGAATAAATACAGGTGATGCACTTATACTGCGTCGCGAAATCGATATAAATTTACAGGAAAATGAGAATTTTCGGAAATAAACATGATATCTTTTGTCCTTTCTGTGACCTCTTTGTATCCCATACCTGATCACAAATACTCATTTTTTAGCAGGGATGACAACAGGAAATAGTTTTTTTTAGAGACAGTATGATTTTTTCATAATGCAAACAAAAGACCAAGGGGCCAAAAAAGGGGTCTTATCCTATCTTGTCCTTTATTTTTATTTTAGATGTTATGTTATTGGTAAAAATGTGTATCTATTATGAGGAAAAAGAAATATGAAGCGATATACCAACGCAAGACGAAGGAAGCTCGGTATTCCGGAAATTAAAGTCGGGCTCGAGAAACATACACTAAACTGCTTCCTGTTATTTTTTTTCTGGAAAAGCACTCAGATTTTCAGTTTGTCAAGAAATAAAAAGAAATGGCAACTAAAAAGAAAAGAGTTGGAGAATTAGATACAGCTGAACAAATGTCGGATCCAAGTGACGGGGAAGACATGGACGGCGAGACTGAAATGGAAGTGAACGAGGTAAACACAACAGTTTCCGCGTATTGTGCAAGACACATGTGTAACTTGAATTTCCTCTAATTTTTTATGTTGATTATTTTAAAACAGTCTATTCCATTTTTTTTGTAACACACAAGACATTTGGTCCTATGTAATCATATATTTTAAAAAGTTAAACATGTGTAAATACAGAACCAATTGCAAGAAAATCTTCAACAGGTTGGGACCACTCGCCCAAATGGGATATAATAGTCCAATTGGGATATAATATCTCAAATGGGCTATAAATTTACAGTGCAAAAAATGAAAAATTTTATTTTGGATTTAAATATCTTAAATCCGCATCAGGGCACCTAAATCTGAATAGCTTTTGGTAAGCAAGTTTTTATACAATCCTATAGTTTGTAAGATTGATCCCCAATTGGTTGAGGAACTTCTGAGGGATCAACAGGGTTCAAAATTAACTTTTTTAGTACTACACTCAATTGCAGTGATTTCTAGCTTCCACTAGTCCGCAAGTTTATCCCACTAGTCCGCCCTATAGTATGTAAAAAGAATAATACAAATCTTAAAATTTTATCAATTAATTCAATGAAATATGTGTCCATACATCAGTTGGAAGCATGTGGTGAAAGAAAGAGGGTTTTTAACTTTCAGAAATCTCCACATGGTCACGTCTTTGTCTATTGATCACAATGTAGAAAACACTTTATTGCAGTTGCGTTTCTCATTTATTTTCAAACATCTAAGAGACTTGGAAATAAAATTAACAAAATGTGAACCAATTCAAGACTTATATCCGGATTTGCACTAGTCCGTACGGACTAGTACCTTACAATATATGCTAGTCCGACACAATTTTTACTAGTCTCGGACTTTCGGACATGAGTTAATTTCGAACCCTGATCAATCTCCTAAACAATGGCCCTACAAAAAAACTTGTCAACCAAAAGTTATTTCTTTATAAGCCATAATAAATAAATTGCTAAATTCTCATCCGATTTTTTAAAAAAAATCGAGGCGGGCGGGCGGCTTTTATTTTATAATTTTTATTTTTTCAATTTTGCAGATTTTCTATTGACCTGGTCAATCGGTGTAATTTTATATACAATACCCGAATAAAAGTCATAGTAAAGGTTCAATTATCTCTTACTTCACATCATCACCAATCTTTTTCAACCAATGATCCTTGTTAAAAATATATACGCATGTATTACAGCAATTACCATCTTTTCAGCTGTCAAAATCATGTCGACTTTCGTGGGATTTAAAATGAAAGTAGAATGGTAGATGAATACCGATCCCGATCAGAATTAAGACGAAAGAAAAGAGAAGAAAAACAGAAATAAAAAAATCAAGGCGGGGGTATAAAATCGGGGCGGGCGGGGATGAGAATCTAGGAATATTTTTATTATGGCCTTACATGTACATGTACGTATAGACACCTACACCAAAAGTGAAACAATAACATATGAAAACACCTGGCATGTTTTTGATTTTATACATTTAAATAAACATTGCTATATTTTTTTGACTTTGCTGCAATGAATTTCAATATCTTAAACACAAGTGATTTAAATATGCTATAGTTTTAACAAGGCCAGTAGGTTTAACAAGGCCAGTAGGATTAAAATCTCTCCCCCCCCCCAACATTAAGCCTGGCCGAAATGTGGCATGTTGTCTTCCGAATACCTGGAAGAAGCTTGCCCGCGGGCCAGAAGCAAATGGAAATTGGTGTGACTGATTTGCATTTCTTCTCCTTTAGTGTCATCTTTTTTCTCCGGATCCTTCGGGAGGCCTTCTTTTGGGTCTGGTTGATTTTCGAGTGGTGCTAACTGCGATGATTCCTTAACTTGTCGGGGTTGTGCCTTTTTCGGTTTTGGTTGGACACCTAATGGTTTAACATCCAACTAAAATTTGAAGGAAAAAAACAAGAAAATTTACGTCCAAGGTTAAAATTTTATCAAAAGTAGGCCAAAGTTCAAGGTCAAATGAGAAAACTGTTGGTCTCCTACCCAAAGAAGGATTTTGACATAAGGAATATATACCTTTGAAATATGAAAACCATGGTACCAACTGTTCAAAAATTATGGCAAAGTTTAAAGTTTATTATTAAAGGTTAAAAGTTTAACAAAAGCAGGTCAATTTCAAAGGTCAAGGTAAAGGTGTAAAATTGTTGGTACCAAAGGAAATGTCTTGCCACAAGAAATATACTTTTTAAATTTGAAAGCCCTAACCCCTAACATTCAAAAACTAATAGCAAAGGTATTTTTTTAAGTGGGTCAAATTTAAATATCAAGGTCAAAAGGTTATAAAAAAAATATTTGTACCTATTAGCAAGTGTTTTATTAAAAGGAAGACAATGTTAATAGACTTCAGCCAGTTAGAGTAAAGGGCATTATAAAAGTCATCAGTATGTACAAAAAAAACATTTAAAAATGCTTTTCCAGGCAGACACCTACCACATCTTCCAATGCTGCGATCCACTCCCTGAAAAAATGAAGAAAAACAATGATCTCTGACTTCATACCAAAATTTATACATAAATCACAGTAAACTCAATTATTAACAGAAAATTTTAATTATTTTTTACTTATAAAATAAATTATTAATCTGGCTTAAAAAAATAAGGACACACCTTATAAACTCACTATGAATTCATGTTCACAGCAAAGGGGTTTTTATTGATTCCGCATGGTTTTTAAACATAACCAAAAACACATAAAACAGAGTGACTATACTAAAGCATACAGTACCTCATTTCTTTATCATCCCTGAATACAATCCAGTTATTCTTCATGTCGGTGGGTCGAGTGCCCGGGGGATAGTTATGGGGGAAGGAGATCATGTAGTTAACGGTCTTCCCCACCGGAGGCTGGGGGCAGTCAGGGATCCCCTCACAGTCCCTTCCTACACATATCTGGTCAACTACTGACTGAGGAAACAAAAGAGAAAATCTTAAAGGGCATATACCCTGAAGTACAGCTATTTGTAAGAACCAGGCAGGGGGTGATTCATGACCAATTCAGATTTTTACAAAATTTCAATATGTTGCTTCATGGACCAAGGGAACATCATTGGACAACATAATTTTTTTGGCCAGCCTTTGTTGCCATGGAAACAATGCACCATGTAAATGCACATGGCAACCAAGCAAAAAATTGAAAAAAATGTGAATTTAGCTATTTTTGAACACAGGAACAGAGCTTTTTTGATGATAGTACCCTAAATAAATCTTTTTTTCCTGAGAAGTACATACAAAATGATAGATGATTACCATACGGATAAAATTATATAGGATTTATTAAAGGTACTGAATTTCAATTAAACATAGGTCATTTCATAAAATTCACTTTTCACAATATTTCTTCAAATCCAACATATTTAGAAGCATATTAAGAAAAAGGCCCGCACGTTAAAGAAATCTGATAACATGGGATAAAAAGAGCACATTCTTAATTTTAATAAAATTAAATAAAACCCATGGGTTTTTTAAAAATATTGTGTTACCATGGCAACAAAATGTCACAAAAATTCATTTTTCACAATAATAACTGTTTTTAGGAGCATAGTAAGAAAAAATGCCACATTTTAAGGAAATCTGATAATGTGGAATAGAAAGAGCACTTTCTTAATTTCAATAAAATTAAATAAAATCCATGGGTTTTTAAAAGATATTCTGTTACCATGGCAACAAAATGTCACAAAAATTCATTTTTCACAATAATAACTGTTTTTAGGAGCATAGTAAGAAAAAATGCCACATTTTAAGGAAATCTGATAATGTGGAATAGAAAGAGCACTTTATTAATCTCAATAAAATTAAATAAAACCCATGGGTTTCTAAAAGATATTCTGTTACCATGGCAACGAAATGTCACAAAAATTCATTTTTCAATTTTTCACAATATCTGTTTTTAGGAGCATAGTGAGAAAAAATGCTACATGTTAAGGAAATCTGATAATGTGGAATAAAAAGAGCACTTTCTTCATTTCAATAAAATTAAATAAAACCCATGAGTTTTTAAAAAAATATTCTGTTACCATGGCAACAGAATATCACAAAAATTCATTTTTCAATTTTTCACAATAATATCTGTTTTTAGGAGCATAGTAAGGAAAAATACCACATGTTAAGGAAATCTGATAATGTGGAATAGAAAGAGCACTTTCTCCTATTCAATAAAATTAAATAAAACCCATGGGTTTTTAAAAAATATTCTGTTACCATGGCAACGAAATGTCACAAAAATTCATTTTTCATTTTTCACAATAATAACTGTTTTTAGGAGCATAGTAAGAAAAAATGCCACATTTTAAGGAAATCAGATAATGTGGAATAAAAAGAGCACTTTCTTCATTTCAATAAAATTAAATAAAACCCATGAGTTTTTAAAAAAATATTCTGTTACCATGGCAACAGAATATCACAAAAATTCATTTTTCAATTTTTCACAATAATATCTGTTTTTAGGAGCATAGTAAGGAAAAATACCACATGTTAAGGAAATCTGATAATGTGGAATAGAAAGAGCACTTTCTCCTATTCAATAAAATTAAATAAAACCCATGGGTTTTTAAAAAATATTCTGTTACCATGGCAACGAAATGTCACAAAAATTCATTTTTCATTTTTCACAATAATAACTGTTTTTAGGAGCATAGTAAGAAAAAATGCCACATTTTAAGGAAATCAGATAATGTGGAATAGAAAGAGTACTTTATTAATTTCAATAAAATTAAATAAAACCCATGGGTTTTTCAAAATTATTCTGTTACCATGGCAACGAAATGTCACAAAAATTCATTTTTCAATTTTTCACAATAATAACTGTTTTTAGGAGCATAGTAAGAAAAAATGCTACATGTTAAGGAAATCTGATAATGTGGAATAGAAAGAGCACTTTCTTAATTTCAATAAAATGAAATTAAACCCATGGGTTTTTAAATAATATTCTGTTACCATAGCAACAAAATGTCACAAAAATTCATTTTTCACAAAAATACCCATTTTTAAGAGCATATTTAGAAAAAAATCCCACATGTTAAAGAAAAATGAAAGCATGGGATAGAAAGACCACATTCTTAATTCTAATAAAACAAAACAAAACCCATGGTTTTTTCAAAAATATTCTGTAACCATGGCAACAGAATATCACAAAAATTCATTTTTCAAGAAATTACCAAAATACATCATTTCCAGAGTATGTTGTGGAAAAAATACCACAAGCACAGAAAAAAAATGATAATATAAGATAGAAAATGTTCTCCTAAACCTTGCAAATATTAGATAAAACCAGTGGATTTCTCATAAATTTTTGTAACCATGGTAACAAATTATTCTGGAAATGCTTTTTTAAGTAGATTGTCTTTACAAAATCTCCATAAAATACAAAATAATTATTGACTAATATACATGTATTATTTTCACAGTTTATTGTAAATGCATGAAAATATATATATATTTTTTTAAATATGCTTTTGTGATTTGTATCTGGTTACCATGACGACATCTCTAAAAATATTGTATTTGCCTATACACTTTAGCCAATGAGATTCCCTTTTATGAAGAAAAATGTATGAGTGGCCATTAGCTAAGATATTGAAAGACACAACATTTTTTTTTGTACCTATAACTTTTTTTAAACAAATATTTGGTTTCTGTGGTAACTGTGATTAACCTTTTAAGAGACATGATCTAAATATTTCAATTGTATTCAAAGCAATTTTGAAAAATCATCTGTATTAAATGTACTTTTTGCTGAAATATATTAGTTTACAGTAAAGAAATCTTGAAAAAAAAATGTCAATATAACATTATAAAGTGTATCAAAAGTAAAAAAAAATCCATGTTCTTGACTAGATAGGCAAACTAAAATTCAAAATTTTATGTTGAAGGGGTGTAATATTCAACATCCTTGGGTGTATCCTAGTCTTGGTTTCAATAAAACCCCTTTTAGATTTGGAGGAGCTTAAAAATCAATATCCTTTGTTTCTGGTCTGGATTTCTTTTTCTTTTCAAAGAGTTTTAAACTGACAGTGTCTTTATTAGATTTTTTTTTGGCCATCATTTAGAAATGTGCCATTGAGATTATCTGTATCAACTGTACAGGTACATCTATGTGTCCTGGCTGCTAAATATTTGCTCCAGCTAAATCCTCTGACATAATGCATGTAGTTGATTCATCAATCTGGAAAAATATAATTCAAAATTTGAACTTTGTTAATGAAAATAGGCATTCCATAAAGCAATTTTTTCTTGTTGCTGTTGAAGGAAGAGAGTAGCTAAGGTTCGTTTTCTCTATGATCATGAATACAAGAAGACCATGGTCCATAACACTCACCAGAGTAACTGGCCATTCTGTTCTACACCAGATTTTCCTACTTGTGATACCTTTTGTGGTTTAGGCCTTTTCTTAGTGGGAGGAGGACATGATTTAAACAATTTAGAATGTACACTTAATCCCTGGATGCTTTAACATAAGTTTCAGCTTTTCTGACCCAGTGGCCCCAGTTCTCTTTTCTTGATTATCACCCCTTGTGAAGGGTTTTAGCCCTGCAAAGTTTGGTAAAAATTGGCCCTGTGGTTCTTGAGAAAAACCTCAGCTCTACAATTCTTCTCTAAATTTTCAAGTAATGTAACCCCTTTTTTAACCCTCATCCTATCCTTGCCTCAAGTAGTTAGCTGTTATTTGATTCTAAATATTGGTATGACTATTACAGCCTTGCTCATCTGAAAAGGGTTTTTTTTTACAACAAAAATTCTGTTTAGATATGCTGCATTTTATAAATTTTACTTTCTAACTTTCTACTGATTTTAGGTTCCAATATTCAAAGAAACATTTGTATGGATTGAATAAATAAAGAAGATGATACTGTGTTACATTTACAATAATACATCTTTTACTCATATTTGGCTTCCACATATATGTAACTGCAGTAAAACTTGTTTAGTACAAACACAGACATTGTGAATTCACAGATATAGTGAAGTTCTCTTGGATCCCCAACTATATAAATATTAAAAATTACAAATATGGATATAACTAATTATCGATATAGCGAAGTACTTTTACAGGTCCTAGTTTGTTATAACCGAGTTGTACTGTACAGGGAGAGAGAGAGGGGGAGGGGTATGATTGAACATAACTGAATCTACACTAAGGATGCTTATGGGGTACTTATTTTTGACTAACTGAGTTTTTCCCTACAAGTTTGAACTTTTATTGCGGCCCCACCCTAAAATGGGGGGTGGGGGGGTCATGATTTGAACAAATCTACACTACAAGAAAATGCTTCCATATGTATATTATAATAACTTACTGGCTTTTCTGTTCTTTAGAAGAATATTTTTAAAGGATTTATTTCTCTATATTCTTATGTTAAACTTTGATTGGCCTTTGTGGTCCCACCCTATCCCAAGGGTCATGATTTGATCAAACTTGAATCTACACCACCTGAAAATGCTTTCATATAAATATTACCAATCAAGGCTTGCTGTATCCAAAAAGAAGATTTTAAAATATTTTTTTTTATATATTCCTATGTTAAACTTTGATCATCCTAATGGCCCCATCCTACAACTGGGGTTCATGCTTTTGAAAAATTTGCATCTACACTACCCGACAATGGTTCCACGTAAGTTTCATATTTCCTGGGCCATTGCTTCTTGAGAAGATATCAGTAATGCTATTATTTTTGTAATTCTCTCCCCTTGAAGAATGACAATGACAGACAAAAGACAAACTTTGATCAGAAAAGATCACTTGAGTCTTCGACTCAGGTGAGCTAAAAACTTCAGAGAATCCAAAGCAGAAGAAATACCTGTTTCAAAGTCTCTGAATGGCAGTGTTCACTATAATTCAGCCCTTAGTCAGAAGGTCCTTGATTTCTAAACGAAAAGGAATGTTCTTAATGATAATTAAAAAAAAACTGCAAGTTGTCAACACAAAATACCGAATTAGCTAATGATACATAAATAATATAAAGTATATATAACACTAACGTTAGTTGAATTGATAATCTTTTCTTGGTGACTTTGGTCCTCAATTTTTAAGTTTACATTACCTCAGCTGTGCAGGTGTTGTCAAAGGGGATTTTGAAATTCAGAACAAGGCTCAGATTGCATCTGAAATGATAAAAAATCATGAAATTCATCATATGACAAGAGAATGCATACATTTATATAACAATTTAGCTTTTGAATTATTGATAATTAAATATTTATTTACCTTCCCCCTCCCTCATGTACTAGTGATATCATCATGAATTCATACGACTATTAGTTATAAATTGAAAAAGAGTTATAGTTTTGTAGGATCAAATTTTATTTTTTAAGTTTCAAACCTAAATTAGATGAAAACATTGGCAGAAACCCATGCATATTGTATGAGCTCTTATATTTATAAATATCTCTCTTTCTATGTGTGTATATATTTGCTTGTAGGAATATTTGGGAAGCCCCCCCCCCCCCCCCCATTTGGATAGGGTTTTATGTCTTTATTCAATTTTTTCGGGGAGGTTAACACCCCCTCCCCCCGTTTCAACTGATAAAACCATAACAATATTTTATTGGTTTTTTTGCTTGTCAATTAAATTTTATAGGACTCCTCACCCTTATTTATAATTCAAATAAAAGGAAATGCATTTGAAGAATATCATACATATAAAAGTTTGGAAATATAGAGTTTGAAAGGGCACAATTTTACATTTTGATTAAATGAATAAGAGAAATAGTAATTATGGTTTTGCCATAACAAATTGGCTTCTTTCAGGGCTTAATTAAATATTCATGATTTTAAGAAGGACCCATTGGCCATTCCAAAAACAGTGTTTGAAATAACAGTGCGCCTGACCGCCCGATACGCACAAATTTTGCTGTGGGCTTACCAATTTGCACATATCGATGCCCAGCTGGACTTGTTTAAAGTTTTCATTAATTAAAATTTATTAATTTGATTAATCGCTTACGAATCAACTAATGGTATCATGAGCAGTACAGGATTTGTGATTCAAAGGGGGAAGGGGGGGGCGTGTATAAATTTGTTCAGGCAAGGGGTCTAGATCGTGATGTTCCAAAGTACAGTCATATGTTAGTCATACCATAGTTTGAATGAAAAGGGGGTCCAGGGGGCAAAGCCCCATAAGCTCCTGAGATTTTGTGTGTTAAAGAGTAAAATTAGGCAAAAAAAATAATGGTATTGTATGAAAGTATGGCATTCTTAATATAATACTTTCCTACAGCAAAACATGGACACATATTATATTCATATGGGAGGCGGGGTGGGGGGGGGGGTATCATTTACTCATTGCTCACAGTACCTCTAGTTTCAAAAATCAATTTTACAAAAGACAATTATTTTCTCAAGCTGGTAGATTTTTAGCAGGACTGGTAAATTTTACTAGTAGTCAACCTGTATGTTTGTTATCAATTTTTCTCGACTTTTCCCTTTTTTAATTTGAAAAAAAATAGTCAATAGTGTCTTTGTTTATACATTAGTCTGTGTTATGTATTAAATACCTGATCTAAATATGACATCCATAGAGGCGCCGAGGCATAGAAAAAATTATGTTCCATCCAATCTCTGCATGTGGCTTTCACTGCTTCTTGCTATGACTTCATGTATGTTTAGGTTGAGGACTTCTTCCAGTATATTAATTGCAGTACTAACGGAGTATCGACGGAAAAGAGAGATACTCATCATACTGTAATCCCCAGCAGCGAGCTAGTGTTCAAATTCCAGTACAAAATTAAACGTTTTCCCCCAAAATTAACTGAATTTAAGTAGTTTTGATGTTATTGTTAAACAAGTTAGCTTTTTCAACACACTCAAACTCTGTTCTCATTTAGCATGTTTAGGAAATAAAATTTTGTTTTTGTCAGATAAAATTAAGCAAATTGCAGGCAGTTATTTTTTTTTATCCTATGCTTATATATTTATAATAAACATTTTATAAACATTTTAGACTTACATGCCCCTTGGATGTATGAAAACTGGCAAAACTTCCAAAATGAAGATGAAATCACACACATTTCTTAATCCTCACCTTCTAAACTGAAGAGTTAAATACACTCTTTCCAACTCCTTTTACTAAAGAGTGCCAAGGGAGATAACTAGAATTTCATGTTTTTACAAAATTTAAAATCACAATATCTATTCGTAATTAGAATAACCCATGGGTTTTTTAATTGTTTTTTACTCTTTGATACTAGATGTTCAATATTTTATAATTCATATTCAAGGAGAGTGCTGGCCTTCTTAAAAAATCACCTGCACGTACAGACACCTTTCAATGGATATTGTTGACTGTTTCAGTATATATTGAATTCATTTTTTAATCAACTATGCATGAAATCCATTTATAACTGTGATTAAGTAATTAGTTTGATGTATCTTAATGTAAATATGATAGTTTTTGAAAAATCTAGGACTATCATGAATCACTTATTTTCATTTCTGCCTGGTTCTTATAAATAGCTGTAAGAACATAAAGTTTTCCTGCCAAAAATAACTACGGAGCAGATAAACCAATATTTTGTTTACAGAATAGCAGGTATGTATGATATAATACTACTTCAGATTCAAAACTATAAAGATTTAAAGTTTTAAAGAGTGCATTGTAATCAGTTATTGCAATCTAATTAACAACATACCTATTAATTAGGTATTATGATTGAAAACTTATTATAAATATAGTTTTTTTTTCATTTAAAAACTGTTAAACCATGTATAAGTACCCATATATATTTTTTAATTTATAAAATACTTCCAGGTGATAAGCAGTTTACGAAAGACATTAAGGCAGTGTCCAAGGGTTCTGCAATGTTCCAAGGGAATAGAGTGCAGGCATGCTCTGTTGTTGTGAAAGAAAATGACATCTACTTTACGGGGATTGTTGGTGCTGCGATGAAAAATAAGGTATCTTTAGGAAACTAATATTGAAGTCTAGTTGTGACAATATGCAAGAATTGAGTTTATGAATGTATACAAAGTGAAATAATTAAGCAATTGTATATTCTGTAATCTTAAGAAACTAGCCTTTTAAAATGTTATATTACATTTAGGTTTCTTATAACTATAAACTGAAAATGGACAAAAGGACAGGAGATGCCATAAATAGTGACTGCGAGTGTCCGGCAGGAAAAGGACCCCATGGGACCTGTAAGCACCTAGCTGCTGTCATGCTCATGCTGCAGCATTTTACAGAGACAGGGAATGTTGCTGTTGATAAAAGTTGTACTGAAAATCTGCAGCTTTTCCACAAACCAAAGGCAACTTACCATGGTAAGAGCAATTGGCCAAAAAAAAAATGAACATTTTCAAAATTTCATTAAAATGAATTCCAAAAATTGTGTTAAGAAATAAAATTAGTTGCAAGAAATTCAACAATACATCATATCAAATTCAAAAATAATTTTGACAGGTTCTTATTAGTAAGCTTTTGTAGCGAGTATAGTTAATGAAGTGGAAATGCATGTAAGTTATATTTCGAAATGGTGATTTTTATAATTAGGTGTCCCAGTGGAGGCAGAAAGTATTCCATCAAAGAGAAAACTGTCTGAAGAAGGGGACATTCAATCCACGGCCAGCAAAATTCAGAAAAATGCCAGGTTACCAAGATTATGTTCGGAGTCAGCTTATCAATTACTGCTCTATGACATCACAAGATATTGCACTCAGATATCTCTTTAAAAGGCCGATATACAGGTGCCATTTTATTTTGCATTATTTTTATACTGCAATGTATTTACACACATAAACCTCTAAAATTTATTCATCTTCTCAAGTATTCACCTCATAAAATCAGATTTATTCTATAACCCATATACATGTTTTTGTTTTTTTTTATTTCAGATTGCTGCTGTTGATCATCATTATACTAGTATACCTATTACAGAGTACTGGGTGGATGAAGCAAACAAGGTTTGTAAACACACTAATTAAATGTGTCACCGGGTTCACAGGTGCGTGAAAGTCAGTCAATACATCGGGTCTCAATAGCTCAGTGGTTAGAGAGCTGGCACGGTATGCCAGAGGGCCTGGGTTCGAGTCCCGGTTGAGACTTGATTTTTCACCACCTGTGACACATGTATATCATTTATCTTTATCAGTAAGAATACAATGTAAAATGTGGCTTAAAATTTGATTTTCTGTTAAAATATTTCCATCAACTTATTAGAATAATCTGTATTACTAAATGTGTAGTAGATATTAAAATAGAAATTTAATTGGATAAAAGAAATAAATATGTGTAGTCGTAACCCTTTAAAAGCTATGGTCAATGTTTGCTTTTTTTTTAAAGTAGGTCAAACTCATAGGTCAAGGGGTCAAAGTTTTTGATATCAAATAAAAGGTCTTCTACAAGTATTACCTATATGAAGTATGAAAGCCTTATCCATTACTGTTCAAAAGTTATAGCCAAGGTTAAAGATTTTTTTGCAAGTACAAAAATCTACATGGTCAAGGTCAAAGGATCAAAATTGTTGGTATCCAATGAAGGGTCTCTCTACAAAGAATACATTATTATGTGAATTATAAATGTTCTGGTATTAACTGTACGGAGATACAGTTATAGTAAAAAGTTTAAAATTTCCATGTAAACGTGGGTCAAACTCCAAGGTCATGGTCAAATTTGATGATACCGAATTAATTTCTTATAAATTTGAGTTATTTAGTTGAAATAATTATAATATATCACTGAATGGGAGATGTTTTAGCTATATATGATAAAGGAGAAAATGAACTTATATTGGTAAGTATTGGCACCTATATGGTGTATTTAAAAATAATGACCTGTAAAAAAGCTCCATGTCTGTTTGTATCTGATATTTTTATTCTAATGAATCTATGTATACACATACCATGTATACACTGTGTATTTATTTATTTATTTATTTATTTAGTGGGGATCACAATTACGTATGGAAATGTCTTGTCGGTTTATATATCTGAATAAACACACTCTGTTGTTGCTGAATCCAATCCACAATCGGTGAGTTTTCTCATCATAACTCAGGCTATGTGGAAAGTATTTCACTTGTTGTTTTGTCCATATTTGCGACAGTTGGTTACCATCCTTGTCTAATACATGTATTGTACGGGTGTTTGCATCACACACGAGGATTTGTGAAAACACGTCTGTACATATTCCACATGGCATGATTCCTGCGACGGTAATGATGATGAAGAACGTCCTGTGTAGGAGAAACGATGTTTTCCTCCACGCTCTGTCACCACTACAGCCTTACGATCCCAATCAGACACAATAATATCGCCATTGCGGTTTTCTGTGATGTAGACTGGTTGATAATATAATTTGTTTTGTATGGTCTGTATGTGTTTTCCTTTGCTGTTGTAACGGTTTACAATGCCTGCCTTTCTTATATCCCAAATGCCAACCAGCAGATCTCCTGTTAAGCGTGAGATATATAAGCAAGATGGTTTTCTTGATTCAGTATTCTTTATCAATGTGTTTTTTCTGTAATTTTTGGATAGTTTAATAATGTTACCATCAGCGTCGACATAAATAAGATCACAGGTAGAGGTTACTGCATGATATCCAACAGTTCCAAAAGTATAAACCATATCTGTTATATGACGTAGTTTTTCTCCTGCAATGTTTGTCAGGAACATCTTGATTTCCATCACATCGCTGATCCAGACGCGGTCTGATGACAGACAGGAAATATGTGTAACTTCACTAACTTCTGTCTCGATCCATTTGAGTAATTTAGGCACAGGCATAAGTTTTAGCATACATTCATTTCTAGCTTGTCTTTTTCCTGACTCTTTGGTTTGGATTTCACTCAGCAACCTTATCACATCCTTCATGAAGATTTCCTCCTTCAGTGACAGCATGATATGACGTTTAAGTTTAGGTGTGTCTTTTATTTTGTGAATTCTGGAATTTTTCAGTATTGAGAGAAATTTTACCGATCTGTTTGATGACTGTTCAGATCTATATTCAAAGTTCTGAATGTCTGCAATGTGTCTTTTTATTTTTCTACTCTGTTTTTGAAATCTATCCATTATATAACCTCTCAATTTGATTTTATCAGTAACAATCTTAATATCTATGAGGTCTTTTAATTTCTGAGCTTTTGTTGAAACATTGGAATAAAAATTTATAATTTTCTTCTGAAAAGTTTTCAAATCGGCTTTGATTTCTGCAAGAAGAAAACAGCTGTTATAAATGTGTATTGCCTCTGATACTATGAACGATTTCTTTATATTGTTTTCGGTGTGTTTTATATGCCCTTTTAATATCAAATGTTTTGTGTTTTCTGTGTTCTTTACACTGGAAACATACAGGAATATCGCACGTTTTACAGTATTTTTTGATATATTTTGTCGGAATGCTTCACACAGATCTCTTGAATTGGGATGTAATCATATTTCTCGCGGTAAATCACAACATCATGGTATATGGTATCTAGATCAATAACATGTCTCTCTTTACACTGTAGACACAGATCATGTTTACACGTGTTACAGTAGAATTCTGTGCCATCTTTACATCGAGAACATTGCCGTACTTTACACTGGGTGTTGAATCCAAGCACGTCCATTAATGGATGGTATGTCTCTAAACACACTGCTCTGAAAATTGAATCTCAGATTAGACAGTAAAGATAATTCTTTTTGTTACATTTGCTCATATAAAACCCTTTATTTTAAAATGATAATGAGATTGTTGCGAGCAACAAGGTCTTCCGTCCGATTTGCTGATAGGATGAGATGTGATTTTGACAAAGATATTAGTGAAAATATTAATGATGCTGAAAAATGTTCCCCTTTCGGGATATAATGTGCTCCCTATATAATCCCTTAATAACCTCTAAATAACGCAAGATTTACAAAATCTTTTCTCATATGTTACTTTTGCACTCTTGTTTCAGTAATGCATAGCAAAGTTTCGGCCATTATGAGACAAAACTTAAGACTTTTTGCCCTTCTGAGCCCTATTGTAAGTGTCTAAGTCACTTTTTCATGAAGAGAAATGAAAGGTCATTTGTTTTGTTTAACAACTTTTCAGATTTTTTTTTAATGTGAGCGTTTAGCAAAAATTGAAAGTTTGCACAGGTAAAAAAAACATCAATTTTGATCAACTTTTGTTCAAGACTATATCTTAAATTACTCCCTCTTCTAGAGATAAAAAGTGTCAAAGAGTTAGTTTTTTGGCCCCTAAAATAACATTTTAAGCAAAGGATGATCATTATTTTGAAATATACCTCTGTACATTGTTTAAAAGGAATGCTTTTGCTTTAGACCTTTCTGATCAATAAAGAGTTATAGACTAAAGACTTTAAGCCCCTCTGGATCTAAGCCTATAATTTAAGGGACCAGTCCCTTTCCCTTGATGTGAAATGAAACGTCATATGAATTTAAAGACATTTTGTTCATAAAGTATTCAAAAATGGTTACCTGATATGGCGGTGCTGTGTTTAACACAAATTAAAACGCAAGGTTGGAATTCAATGGGCATTTATCCATAAACAAATAAAAACATGTCAACAAATAGTTTAATTGTCAATACCAAACAATTAAACACAGTAGAAAGTAGAAACCAACACATATTGCAAAAACTATAAAGAAATAAATAGCTAAATAGAAGTTTCAAAACTAAAATTTTTATTTCTTTTCATGCATAAATCTTGTAAATACAAAATATACCTATTGAAAATATCACTAATGGATAAAGAGAACTAAGAATGTTTGTTTTTTATTTTACTTATTCAAATATATTAAGTGTTTATACAGAACGTACGTATCAAAGCTTACCTCATACGAAATGTACCGAGAATCAAATATTCCAAACAAAGACATCATCATCTATGACAAAGAACAGGAAACTGATGTATTATAAAATTTAACTGGCTAACACATTCATCTGTTTATGAACTTTTTAATTCTATTATTGTGTTTAAGTACGGAAGAAAATATCGTAGAATAATAAAATAAAATGCAATAGGTACACAGACCCGTCACTGATGAATGGCTCCACTTTCGTGATAAATGTCCTTATGCAAGCGGAAATAAATTAGACGTGTATTTCTTTGTATTAGCAATCTTTAAGATCAAGGTCTAGTTAATGGAAGATGCCTACATATTTATCAAATATGAGAAATGAATTCCTCTAACGATTCTTTACAATTTTAGTTTGGTCAAAAAATGTTTCGGGGCATAATTTGTAGGTAAACAACACTCTTAAAAAAGTTTACTTAGTCATTAGCTCTACTGGTCAGAGACCAGAAGAGCTTATGCGATAGTAATGCGTCCGTCGTCCGTCCGTCTGTCTGTCTGTCTGTCCGTCTGTAAACAATTTTTCAAAATGCTACTCCTCCTACAGTTTTGGTCTGATTTCAGTATAACTTGGCACATAAGTAGACTACACTAAGATACATAATTCTGTGTATCGGTTTTTGATTTCGATGAACAGTGTTGCCGTGGTTACTAAAAATAGAAATTTCTGTGAAATTCTTTCAAAATGCTACTCCTCCTACAGTTTTGGTCTGATTTCAATATAACTTGGCACACAAGTAGACTACACTAAGATACATAATTCTATGTATCGGTTTTTGATTTCGATGAACGGTGTTGCCGTGGTTACTAAAAATAGAAATTCCTGTGAGATTCTTTCAAAATGCTACTCCTCCTACAGTTTTGGTCTGATTTCAATATAACTTGGCCCACAAGTAGACTACACTAAGATACATAATTCTGTGTATCGGTTTTTGATTTCGATGAACGGTGTTGCCGTGGTAACTAAAAATAGAAATTTCTGTGAAATTCTTTCAAAATGCTATTCCTCCTACAGTTTGGTTTTATTTCGATAAATACTCTCAAAATGCGTCTCCAAATACAGTTAACTTGATTATTATTATAATTTAATGTGGCATGCAAGTAGAGTACACTAAGAACATAAAGGGACTTAATCAAGGATCATTAGGCCTATTCTTTTTATTGCTGTGGTAAAGTTTCAATTCCCAACTGCTTAAGAACTTTTCTCTTCATTTGCTATAAGTATAAACCAGTAGAGCTTCAGTCTCGAAAGAGACTTCTGGTTTTTTACTTGAAATAACAAAAATAAGTAAAAGATAATTACTAAGCATTTACTTAAAATTTTAAATCAATTACTAAAATATACTGATATATGTCAATTACTAAATTCAAATTTTTTACTTGATTTTTGTATTTTAAAGAATTGTTTTACTTAAACACTAAAAAGTTTTACTTGGTAATTTATGTTTAATTAAATTTGTGTATATAAGTAATAACATTTACTTCTATAGATTTTACCACTATTCACTATAAAACTAATATTTTTTGCCCCCGTAAACAAAGTTTCGGGGGTATACAGTTTTTGTCGTGTCCGACTGTCTGTCTCTCTGTTTGTCTGTTTTCCGCAAAAAATTTAACCTTGCCCATAACTTTTGATTTAGCGGAGCTATGACTTGTATAATTCACATATCCATTTCTTTTGACAAGATTCTTTCTTTGAGTATCGCCAAATTTGAACTTTTGACCTTGACCTTGGAGTTTGACCCACTTTTACAAATTCCAAACTTTTCCTTTAGCCATATCTTTTTAACAGTAAATACCAGGACATTACTACTTCACATATATATTCTTTGTTGAAAGACCTTTCATTGGATACCAATTAACTTGACCATTTGACTTTGGCCTTGGAGATTTCAATCCTTGTGAAAAAACTTTAACCTTGGCATTTACTTTTGAACGATAAGGATAGGGCTTTCATACTTACATAGATATAATTTCTGTGAGAAGACCAGTCATTGGATACCAAGAACTTTGACCCTTTGACATTGACCCTGGAGTTTGACCCACTTTTAAAAAGCAAATATTGACTTTAACTTTAAAAGGGTTAGGGTTAGTGCATTCATACTTTACAAATTTCATCCTTGTGACAAGACATTTCTTTGGGTACCACCAAATCTGACCCTTTGTCCTTGGCCTTGGAGTTTGATCTACATTTCAAAATTGGTAGCCTGGCCCATAACTTCTGAAGGGTAATTGGGGCTAGTGCTTTCATATTTCATATACATGTATGTATTTTTTGTGGCAGGACCTTTCATTAGATACCAATAACATTGACCATTTGACCTTGACCTTTGAGATATCAAGAAATACCAATATATTGAATTTGCACATAAGAAAACTTTAACCTTTGCTATGTTGCCATACGGGGGGCATCAGTGTTTCACAAACACATCTTGTTTACATTGTATTTAATTGATTTACTTAAAACAATAATTTATTTACTGAATCAAGGAGAATTCAGAGCAGTTTCAATACAAATAATTACTTTAAAATGGTAGTCTAATCACTATCAGGATTGAATTCTTGAAATGTAATATATAATTTTGGCTTCCATGTTAATTGTCTGTGAGGAGGAGTTATCTTCCTCCTAAATATACCTTCATGTAAAAAAAAAGTCATACTAATTAAAATGCTGTATTCAGTACTTGAAACTTTAAACAATTTTTAAAATGGTCCTTAAAAAGAGACAACTTATTCAATTTATAAGGCTTTTGATGTTGGAATTGATTGTTTTATTGTTAAATATAATAAAACAATTACAGAGAAATTGGCAAATGAAATATAGAAGGTATTGTTACCATCCCATGTAGAATTGATCTAATTGACTACTCAGAAAGCTCAATTAGACACTATGATCAAGAAAACTGTGATTAGTCATACATATTGTACTTTCATAGTTACATTTATCTCCTTTATCAGAGGATCGATACCTTGCAGTTTCTCTTGTAAATAATGTCTATTTTAGTAAATATGATAAGTATTTCATTTACTTAGCATTCTCTTAAATAATAATATTCTAGAATTTAATTAATTTCTGAATTACATTTACTTAGTAATAATTCATAAAATCTAGTAAATAGATCGCATATGTATCCCTAAATTAGGTAATAATAATTTACTAAAAATGAGTGGTTCATTTAGTAATAGAATTCCTATTGAGTATTGATACGTAGTAAATCATTTTATAA